TTAGACAAACACTCAGAGGGGATGGAGATACATTATAGCCCGGAACTCTCAGGGGAAGGACGTCTCTAAAAAGGGACTTTTTGCTCTACAATCACAGATAACCCTGGGTGCGGCGCTGTGTGTGAGGGGAAGATGCTCGGTTTGGTTTAAGAAAAGTTCAAACACTCAGCCGCACCTACTGGGCACCAGGCTGTTGCTGAGTAATGGGAACTCAGGGTTAAGCAGCTCCTGCCATGCGGTGTTCAGAGCCTTGAGGACAGACAGACGTGAGCGCGATGGTCAGAGCACAGGGCAAGGCGACTGGCAAGCAGAGAGACTCTCGGAGGCACAGAGCAGGGAGGGAGTATACAGTGATGCTGCTGTGTGACCTTGGACGAGTAACCTGCCCTCTGCACCTCGGTGTGCTCACTGTAAAATGGGGAGGGAAACAGAGTCTTCCTTTTGGAGTCTGGATTTACTGAGGTGTTGCAGGCAGAGGATAACTGAGCTTTACCCATGCTCCGTAATGCGAATGAGACAGAGAATTGAGCCAGGAGCGCTCTGCCCAGCTCAGGCTGGACAGAAACTAGGACGGACCTAGAACGCAGGGTGGTCATGGGAGGGAGGCGAAGCCGGGAGGCTTCTCTTCAGCATCTCCGAGACTCCGGCGAGGGGGCTGGCAAAGGCACATTGGACCCACGCAGGACAAGAAAAGGGCAGACACCGCTCATGCAGAGTGCTCTTGGCACTGTGCTGGCCCTCCCCACAACCCTGTGGGTGGGCACCATCACTCCCATTTCACAGATGAAGAAATTGAGGCTCAGAGATGTTAACTGTCTTGCCCAATGTCACACAGTGAAAAAGTTATGGAGCCAGGGTGGGACCCCCGGCTGCCCACTCCAGCACCCTACCCCTCCCACAGTCCCACTGACCTGGCATTCCCAGGGCGCTGCCTCCCCAGGGCAGGTGGTCAGGGGCCCCACCAGGCCAGGCTGGGGGATGCGGGCTGCCTTATCCTCACAGGCAGAACAGGACCGAATTGGTTGGTTCAGCGTTCATTCACCAGACATGCATTGCTCACCTTGGTGTGTTCAGTACCAAAGATACAGAGGTGACTTTGCAAGGAGGGCCTGGAAGTATGTAAAGCACAGTCCCTGGTATAAGTGCTACAATGTGGCAGGGCGGTGGGAGATAGGGGACTCAGAGAGGGAGGCACCCACTTGAGACTGGAGAGGAGAAGGAGGGCTTCCTGGAAGAAGGGATACCCAAGCCAAACCCCTCCATATCAGCGGGTGTTGGGGGCAGAGATTGGGAGTAGAGGGAATAGTGATCTAGGCAGCGGGGAAGTACGAGGAAAAGCCAGCAGTTTGCGTGAGAAATGGGGGAGGAGGGCTCTGTGGGTCACAGCAAGCCTATGGGCCTGTGATGTGGTCGCAAAGCAGCCCTCTAGATTTGGAGCTTCTGGACCCCGGGAGGATGAGAGAGGGTGGCGGCAGGGACGGGGGGTGGGCGGGGGACGGGGCGTACCCTGAGAGAACAGGCAGCTCCTCCTGGGCACCCACCTGCCCTGACCCCAAGGCCCGCCCCATCCCCTCCCACCTCCACCCCAGTGTGCACTGTCCATCTGGAATCCAGAGGACAATTCTGAGAAGTGGGACTATTGTCCCCATCTTACAGATGAGGAAACTGAGGCTCTGCCTGACCTGCCCAAAGTCACAGAGTCACAGAGCAGGCAAGTGGCTGAGTCAGGATTGAGATCAGGACCCGGGCTCCAAGGCAGGAGGCAGGGAGGCAGGTGACAGGGAGGCCCCCGGGAGGACTACCCACCCCGGCCGCCTGCCGTCCTAAAGCCTGCCCCGCCCACTGACCGCTCCCTTCCTCCCGCTTTATACCCACAGTTTACCGCACCTTCACTCCAAGAGCAGGCAGTGTTGTTGAACCCATTATACAGATCAGTACGCCGAGGCTGAGAGAGAGGAAGTGACTTGCCCAGTCACCAGCCAGAAGTGGTGGAATCGGGCATTGGGCCAATGCCAATGCCACCCTCCTGTGGCTGGGTCCGCTTCCCCGCAGCCTGGCCCGAGGCTTCCACCAATCCCTCCTTGGTGGGAGGGACTGAGAGAGAGGGAGGAGGGGCTCGTGGAGAGGAGGGGACCCTGCTGGCGCCCCAGCCCCTCCCACACGTGCCATTAGTAGCTCTCACCCCTGCACGGTAGACAAAGGCACCCCATACTTGGGAGCGAGTATTTCATGTGTCCCCCCTGATGTTTTATTGGGAGGAGAGATGTTCAGAGACCAAACGGATGGCACATTCCCTTTATAAAGTGTGCGCAGTTTGTTTTATTTCCCGAGTTTTTGCAATCTAGATAACAGATGATGCCCCGAGTGGCTGGCGCTGCCGCTGTAATGGCGGCGCTGAGCCTTTGGAGAAGTATTAATAATAGATTGTGTTGATGAGTTTGGAGAAAGTAGCAATCGACCCCCTGCTGCCAAGGCATTAGCGAGGCTGTTCTGAATGCAGCCTGTGTGGTGGCAGTGCCTGCAAATGCAGGTCACCGGCCCTGCTGCCCCCTCCCCGCTCTGGGGAGCCACCCAAGGTGTGCGGGCCTCCGCCTGAGCCCCTGGCCCTGCCGTGCCGGCACAGAGATGTGGCCAGTGCCTGTCCCCTCGGCCACAGAGGCCAGCTATGGACCTTAGTGGGACCCCAGGACAGGAGATAGAGGGTGGGGAGGGGACAGAGGGGTAGCGAGGGGGGCGGGACAGAAGCGTCCTCCGAGTCAGAGCAGCGGGTTCCGCGAGCCTGCCTCCTCCCGCAGCCCCTTGGCAGAGCCGGCCGGGGGCTCTGCCGAGGCTGCCACGGACAGTTGTGTAGGTTGTACCCTGGGCGAAGGTGTCCAGGCAAAGGGCCAAATTAAGGCCACAATCCAGCTCAGGCTCTTCTTCCAGTCACACCCTGGGGGGGACCTGGGGGGTGGGGGCCAGTCTGCCTGGCCTGAGCCTCAGCCCACCCCGAACCTCCACTCACCTGCTTCACTAACACTCGAGGGTGGAGTGGGGTCCTGCCTGTGGAACCACGGACGACCTGGGAGCTGGCAGGGGCACATGCTGTCACTCTGACGTGGTCCTCATTCACCGAGTTGCATGCTTAGTATCATTGAATTCTGATGACAGCCCTTGAGGAGTGTCCTGTTGACACCCTGTTTTATGGTAGGAGGAGCTGAGGCCAGAGAAGCACAGGTGAGCATAGAGGAGGCCACCTTCCCAAGACTGGGCCATCCAAGAAGGCTTCCCAGAGGAGGCGGCATTGGAGTTGGGCCTCGCAGGATGAGTAGGAGCCTGCTGGGTAGAATAGTGGGGGCGGCGGGGTTGCCGGGGAAGCCCCCAGTTTGAGTGCCCTGGCCCGCGCCAGGGCAGCAGGCAGAAGGCAGCCTGGCCCTGTCCAGCACACCTCGCCCGCCGCCCGTGGGCGGCGCTGATGGCAGCCCCGGGAAGGGAGGCAGGCCGCGCGCCTCGCACTTACGGCTGTTGCAGAGCCGATTAGTGGAGAATTGCAGCTGTAATCTGTGCCTGCGATGGCGGGCCATAAAGAGGGATGGGATGTGCGCAGCGCTCCCAAGGTGGCGCCCACAGACGTGGCCCGGGGACGCGGGGAATGAAAAATGGTTTTAATTCCCTCCCAGCAGCAATAATTTGATTCTTCATAAATTTTTCCATCAAAGTGTTGTTGAGGCTGAGTTCCCACAGAGCAGGACACGTGACAGGGACGGCAGCCGGAAGGAGCGGTCAGTAGGTGTGGGCAGAGGAGGGGCCGGGCTGCTCAGACCCCTCTGTACACGCTGGCTGGAGGTGGGAGCCCCCACCTGGCTTTGTATCCAGAGAGGGAAGATGGACCCGCTTTGCGGTGGAGGGGCAGGATTAGGTCCAGGCTCCGGGTCAGCTCCCTCGCTTACTACCCATGCGACTCTGAGCAAGTAACTCCACCTCTCAGCACCTCGGTTTCCGAACCTCTAAAATGGGATTGACACTGCTTTCTGTCTCGCACGGTTGTTGCAAGGACTCGGTGTGTTTCTGCAGGCGAAGTGCTTAGAACAGCGGCCGGTATGCTGTACGCACTCAGTAAATGCATCTCTTCATGGTAGCGATGCTTAAACCTGAAGAGAGGCTTAAGTAGGTGTTAGCCAAGCCCAGGGCCAGGGAAAGAAAGAAAGCAGGTGTTAGCCAAGGCCAGGGCCAGGGCAAGAAAGAAAAGCCAGTGTGATGATGGTGCTCTGGAGAAACTGCAGGCCGCTCTGTGGGGCACAGCCTGGGGGAGCTGAGGGGGCGAGAGAAGAGGCAGGGTCGGGGAGGGCCCACAGTGCCAGACTCAGGAACCTGATGTTCTCCTAAGGGCGCTAGGGAGCCATGAAGGAGTTTAGAGCAGGGAAGCAGTGTGACCGGGTATGTGTTTTGGACATATCTTTCTGACTGTCATTCTGGAGGGTGAGTTGCAGGGTTGGAAGGGCCAGAACCCGGGGAGAGGACTGGGACAGTCATTCAGAAAGGAGAGGAGGGGCCTCTGCGGGGTGGCCGGTTGGGCAGGGTAGCGATGGCTCCGGTGTGAGGATGACACAGAGGGAGGGAGGAGGCAGAGCGGGCCCTGGGTGCCGGTGGGCGGACCTGTGGGCTGCCTGCCCTTCGCCTCAGGGCAGAGGGCAGACCGGGTTCTGGGCAGAGGTTGAGGCTCACCTTGTATTCTGCCCTCTGGTGGCCACTGTGTCTCTGAATGGGAAGGGCCCTGAGCTGACACACGGAAGAGAGGGCACTTCTGGGCAGGATGCCCAGCGCCCACCCGCGGGCCCCTGGGCCCTATAAGCCAGAAAAGTAGGGCTGCGCGGCCCTCCCCACGTGGCTCTGTGCCCAGAGGGGGCTTCCCCCACTTGGGCCGGAGGATCAGGGTGGTCAGAGGGAGAAGCTCTCAGGAGGCAGCGGCCTCTGGGAGGGAGCCCCGAGCCCAGCTAACGTGCCCGCCCCTGCCCCCACAGGCTCTTTGCGGCCAAGTGCAGCGGCTGCATGGAGAAGATCGCCCCCACCGAGTTCGTGATGCGGGCGCTGGAGTGTGTGTACCACCTGGGCTGCTTCTGCTGCTGCGTCTGCGAGCGGCAGCTGCGCAAGGGCGATGAGTTTGTGCTCAAGGAGGGCCAGCTGCTGTGCAAGGGGGACTACGAGAAGGAGAAGGACCTGCTCAGCTCTGTGAGCCCCGACGAGTCCGACTCTGGTGAGCCTGGCTGCAGTCGGCGCAGGAGCAGGGAGGAGGGCTGGGCAGGGTGCCGTGGAAGGGTGAGCCTGCCGGGGAAGCGTGCTTGCGACCCCAGGAGCCAAGCTACACACAGACGATGCACCCACATTCATATGAAGTGTTCACATACACAGGTGCACGTGTGCAGGGGCACACCATCATTCATATGCACACACTCCCACAGGCACACAAATGCACCTGCGGACATGGCCACTGAGGCACACGTACCTGTGCCAATGTGTACCTGTGTGGTCGCAAAGGTGTACACACAAGCACATAAAATGCACAGGTGGGCACCCATGCCCAGGAAGGTAGATGCGTGGGTACATGGACATGTGCAGACGTGCTCACACGTCCAAGCGTGCAACAACTCACACCCAGGTGTGCAAGCACACACACATGCACAGTGACCCAGCACACACAGGCAGCAAGCACTGAGGCATACGGCTATACGCACGTTCATCCACATGCTCCCGTGTGCTGTGGTTCGCACATGAGCATACACATGCGTGCACATGCGTACCCTGCTCTCTGGCCCGCCGTGCTCCCCCTTTCTTGCCTTGGGCCCACCTTGGCACAGCACCGCGGAAGTGTCTGCCAGCACCAGGCCTGTAGGCTGCTGATGTCTGAGAGGAGGGACCCGATGTGTCCTCCTGCCTTTGGCCCCCAAAGCCTTCGGCAAATGGCTTATTTCCGTGCCTATTTCCCAGATGGGCAGGGACCTGAGATTTTCTGTGGCGGAGGGGGAGACCCCATTTCCCAGGATGAAAGCGCATCTCCGCTCAGCTCCGACCCCTGAAGGACTGTGCCCGTTTGGAGCCCTCTGGGCACAGAGCCAGCCAGGAAAGAGTTTTAAGGGGGGAAAGTCAGGGGGTGGCGGGCACCTCATCATTCCTGGGGAGGACGGGAGCAGGGAGCACAGAGCAGAGATGACCTCCTCTGTGCCAGGCCCTTGGGAGAACCTAGAGCCCATGGGCACTGGACCAGCACAGACGGAAGGGCTCAGTCACTGCCGGGACCCTGGTGGAGGTAGTGCTTCTGTCCATCTGTCCCTCTGTCCCTCTGTCCGCCCTGGACAGGGCGCCACCCTGGCCGGGCCTATGGCTTCCTGGACTCCTGTGGGGGAGCAGAGGCTGGCCAGGTGCTAGGAGGGGTCTCCGAGGGGGGAAACAGCCTCTCCCACGGGCTCGCGCTCGGGGAAAGATGGGCCTGAAGAAAGGAGACCAGTTTAGATGGGGGTGTAGCAGAGGCACGTGGGCTGGGGCGGCCCTGCTGTCCCCCTGAGACCCACGACTCTGAGGCGTGGAAGCGGTGTGGTGGCCGTGTCTCTGGGCGAGCACACATGCTCCTGCACTGCATGCACGCGCGGGGGTGCCTGTTCAGGTGTGCGCATGCCTGGTCATCCTGTCTGTGAGCATGCGCCTGAGTGTGTGCGCCTGACTCTGTCCCTGAATGTGTCTGTGAGCTGCGTGTGCTCAAGCCTTGGTGAGCCCACGTGCCAGTCTGTCTGTGCGAGTGCCGGTGGGTGTGAGTGTGTGTGTATCTGTCATGGTCATGAATACTCCCGTGTGAGAACATCTGGAGCATGGTCTTTGCCTGTCACTTCTTTGTCCCTGGAAACTCCAAGGAAGAAGGTTCTCTAGGCCCTGGGGCCTGACTGATGCTGGACCAGCAGAACTGGTCTTCTCAAAGGTCAGCCTTCTGGACTGGGGTCTCCAGGGGCCAGAGGCAGCCATGGCAGGTGCCGGCCGGAGGCCATGGGGTCCCATCAGGCAGCGGATTGCCAAAGGGTGCAAGGCTGATGGGCTGGGTTATGTCCCCCACAGTGAAGAGTGAGGACGAGGATGGGGACATGAAGCCGGCCAAGGGGCAGGGCAGCCAGAGCAAGGGCAGCGGGGATGACGGGAAGGACCCACGGAGGCCCAAGCGACCCCGGACCATCCTCACCACGCAGCAGCGAAGAGCCTTCAAGGCCTCCTTCGAGGTCTCCTCCAAGCCCTGCCGAAAGGTGAGGGGCGGCTGGGGTGGGGCGAGGCTGACCCGTACCTGCTGCCTTTCCAGACGCCACCCTTCCACACTCGCTGGGAGGGGGGCCTCCCTCCACCTCACCACCCATCTGTCAGTCCCCCACACCCCCGCCTCCCCGGGGCCTGACCAGCCTCCCTCTCTCCCTCCCTCCTGGCAGGTCCGAGAGACACTGGCAGCAGAGACAGGCCTCAGCGTGCGCGTGGTCCAGGTCTGGTTTCAGAACCAAAGAGCAAAGGTGAGGGGCCACCTGCCACCCCTGCTGGGCAGAGGTGGAGTGTGGGGCGCAGGCAGAAGACAGATGGCCTGATGTGGGCGGGCGGGGGAGGGGGAGTGGGAGTGGGACCAGGGTGGGGGGAGAAGGGCAGGGACTGGCACGAATGAACTGTGTCTTCTGCAGATGAAGAAGTTGGCGAGGCGGCACCAGCAGCAGCAGGAGCAGCAGAACTCCCAGCGGCTGGGCCAAGGTGAGCCGGGGCCGGGGCCGGGGCTCGGCTCAGTCTCTTAGAACAAGAAACTTTCCACTCAGGCCATGAGAGCTCTGGGAACCAGCTGAGCTCAGTAGAGAGTGGCAGTGACCCAGGACACAGGAGAAGAGACGGCAGGGTGGGCAGCCCCGAGGGGTGGCAGAATTTCTGACATTAAAACTGTAGTCCTCTAACTCGTTGTCACTGTGTGCCAGGCACTGTTCTTGTCATTCGACACGCTCCCTCATGCTTGCTTCTCACAGATCCCCAGGAGGAAAGGCCTTGTCATGTCCCATTTCACAGATGAGGAGACTGAGGCTCAGTGAGAGTAAGGGACTTGCCAGGATCACTTGGCTCATTAGGGACAAAGCCAGGTCTCAGCCTGGAGTGTGGGGCTCTTAAGCTCTGCGTTTCCCATGACCACACAGACAGCTACCCAGAGCAGAATCCAGCGGAAGTCTCCAGAGATCGTCGGCAGGGAGTCGAGGAGTCGGGGTGGGCCCCTGCCACAGGGTGAGGGGCCAGCTGAAGGGGCAGGAGTCAGCCACCCTCCGACACTGGGCTTTGCCAAAATGCTGTTGCCACCTCTTGGGCCAGGGTTGGTCTCCCAGGTCTCCTGGGGACACGGAACTGCTGAGTGGGGTGGGGACCCCAGAGCCGCCTGCTCGGAAGTGAGACGGGGCTCCAGCGCCGATGCCAGGGCCTTTCTACCCAGGGCTCCCAGGCCAGTGTCCCAGGCGGAGCCCAGGGCTTCCAGGCCGTGGCCTCGGGCCCGGTCCTTCCCCTCCTCTTCCTCTGCCCCCATCCCCAGGCAGCCCAGATTCCAGAAGCTGCACGCATGGCCTCGCGGCTCCCAGCCAGCCCCCGAGCTGTGTTGCCCCTGGCGTCCCCAGCTGCTCCTAGGTTCAGCCTCCCTGAGAATGTGCCTCAGTCCCCTTGAGCTCGTGACAGCCACAGTGCACACTCCACAGCGCTGCCCTGGCCCCTCCCCCACCTGGGCTCTGCAAGTGGCACCACCAGGACCCAGTGCTGTGGAGTGACCTCTGACCCTTCCTGTCCCACAAGCACTGCATCTGCTCAGTGTCCCTCAGGCCGCTCCCAGCTGATTTCTTTCTCACACCTCATCTCCCTTGATAGGGACCCCAGACCCTCCGCCTGACTTCCTCCTCCCGCTGGTCCCCACCGCCTTGTCCACCTCCCCAGCCTTTTTCCACACACAGCCCCTCCTGACTACAGCCTACAGCTTCCGGGGGCCCCTCGGCCTGGGCCCCAAGCACCACCTCGCAACTCAGGTCTCCCCACGCTGGGCCTTCTCCCGCCTTACGCCTCAGCCCCCAGACGGGCTCCCTGCTCCCACCAGGTGGTTTCTCTCCTTGCCGCCTCTGCTGCCCTCCAGGGTGGCAAGCCGGCCTGTCAATCACCTGCTGGTTCTTTAAGTCACACGCAGGTGGGGGCCCCTTCCTCCAGGAAGCCTATTCCAAGCCCCGCCTCGATGCTCCCAGGTGCAGGGCGCTCACTGCGCCTACACGCTGACTCATTACTGCCTGCTGAGGCGTCTGTCCCTGCCGAGGGCGGGCCTCGGCTCCTGGACAGCAGCCTTTGGAGGATTGGGAGGAGGTTGGGGGCAGGGGGCTCTGATTTTTGATAAACTGATTCTGGAAGAGGAGCTGGAGCGTGTCTGGGGAAGGGGGCTCCGCTAACTGGGCTCCATGGTTCTGCGGGCCCAGGAGGGACACAGGGAACCTCAGCCACAGGCTGTCAGGGTGTCCCTGAGGAAGCCTGGAGAAGGTCAGAGGGACTGTGGCGGGCCAGGGGGTGTGTGGGAGGCCTGGGGGGCCCCTGTGGTCCATCTGCGGGGGCTCCCGGGGCTGCCAGGACAGGGCGGGCAGGACCTGTGGGTGAAGGCGCACCCTGTTCCCAGAGGTCCTGTCGAGCCGCATGGAGGGCATGATGGCCTCCTACACGCCGCTGGCCCCGCCGCAGCAGCAGATCGTGGCCATGGAGCAGAGCCCCTACGGCAGCAGCGACCCCTTCCAGCAGGGCCTCACGCCGCCCCAAATGCCAGGTGACCACATGAACCCCTATGGTAAGCTGCCCAGCCCCCCTCTTGCTCCAGCTCCACCCCTGCTCCCTGCCTGGCCTGGCAGGCCTGGGGTCCTGACAGCCACCTCCCTCCCCCGGGCCCACAGAGCCTATGCGCCCCCTCCTGACAGGAAGGGGACACCCTTAAGACCCTCCCTGCTGTCCCCAGCCCCTCTGCAGGCATGGCCACAGGTCGTCCAGTCCCTCCCTTGCCTCTGCCCACACAGCTCGTAAGGCCGACAGGGTCCCCAGGAGCCTCTGCCCACACCCCTGTCCTGACGCCCCCTCTGCTCCCCAGGGAACGACTCCATCTTCCACGACATCGACAGCGATACCTCCTTAACCAGCCTCAGCGACTGCTTCCTCGGCTCCTCTGACGTGGGCTCCCTGCAGGCCCGCGTGGGGAACCCCATCGACCGGCTCTACTCCATGCAGAGTTCCTACTTCGCCTCCTGAGGGCCAGCTGGCCGCACGGACGCTTGGGCGAGGGCCCTGGGTGGGACCGCGGGCCACAGCGGCCAGCCGCGCCACCCCCGGCCCCGCCGCCTGCACAGACTCTACAGACAGCCATACGGTGCCCTCCCCTCGGCCAGCTGGGCCTGGCTAAAGTGCCCCTGGGCACAGCCAGACAGGCGGACGAGCACAGCCTGGGCAGAGGCTGTGTCTCTGTCCTGCCCACAGGGACCGTGTTGCCCCCAGGGACCCAGAGCTCTCGGACAGCCACTCACCTCCCAGCCCCACCTTGGCCTCCATTGCCTCCTCTCTCCCCATCTTTTTGGGAAGCTTAAATTCTCTCTATTTTTTTAAACGTCCTCTCTGTGTCCAGCCAACATCCACGGCCCAGGCCTAGGCCAAGGCAGGGCTCCGTGCATGCCCCGGGACGACTGTGCATGGCGCCCGTTACCTGTGAGGGGCGTGGGCGCGTGTGCCCGGGCCTAGCACCCGCCTCCCCCTCCTCCACAGGCAGGCCCCGGCCCAGGATCACCCCTCCCAGCCAGAGCCTGGAGCAGAGGTGGGGAAGAGCCTGCCAGATGCCCTCAGGGGGGTCCCTGGGGAGCGTAGAGGGAGCCCTGGCAGACCCGTGGGGACAGCAACATGCGCAGAGGTGCATACCTTTGAAGGCACACAGAACGCCCATACATGGACAGAGGCGTAGAGACGCTGAAAGAGAGAGGCCTCCGTGGGGCAGCCCTGCCACGTTAGAAAGGGGAAAGGGGCCAGACGGGGAGAGAACCCTTCTTCTTACAGCAATAGGAGAGGAAGGAGGGAGGGGAGGGAGGAAGGGGAGGGGATGGGGTGAGCTTGGAGCAGGTAGACTCAGATGTACCACGGCCTCAGCCCAGGTCAGGGCCGGGCATCCCGAGCAGACAGGGCAGCCACCAACCCACTCCCAGGACAGACACAGGGCGCTCAGAACCAGGCAAAGGCGGGCCAAATGGCAGAACCCCGAGGTGGAAAGGGAACTCAGAGTCAGCCACTTGGCCCTCTGCCTTACGCTCGGCTCCTGCGCAGCCCCTCTGCCCCGCCTTGCATGCCTCCTGAGACAGGGAGCCCACTGCTTCATCAGGCCCCCAGTCAGCTGCCCTTTTCTGCTGATTTTGCCTCTTTCAGCCCTGAGTCCTTGCTTCTCAAAGACAGGCTTTTCCAGATTCTCCAGCTCTTCCTCTTAAAACTGTACCCACAGCTGGGCTCCAGCTTGCCCCCTGTGCAGAGCAAGTGAAACCTAGTCTTCCCACTGACATCAGCCAGCCAAAGTGAGCAGGCCCATCCCCTCCCCAGCTTCAGGTGCCCTGCCTCTGTTGAGGTGGCCCGAGGCCACATAACTCTGGAACCTCACCCTGCCCTTCTACAAGTGAATCCCCTGACCATCACACACATGTGACAGCTAAGCCACCTCGGTCTTCTGTGTGTGTGCGTTGGGGGTCAGCTCTGTGCCTCTCACCCACGACATGTGGACCCTCAGGGCCTGTCTGTGTTTGGCATTGGCACTCCTTGGGCGATGCATTCCGACCACACTTCCAGCCCTGGCTGTGCCCTGCTGGAAGCCACATACACTGTAGCAACCCCCCACCCCAAATTCGCTCAACTCTAACCCTGCCCCAAAGGAAGTGAGGTCAGGTGGATGGGCCCTGATCTCGGTGACCACTGAGGTCACTGTGTGCTCAGTCAGGTGCTCACAGCCCTGCCTTTAATTCTAACTCAGAGCCCTAGGCCACCACCCGGAGGTCTGCTTGTCCAGCTTTTGAGCAGCTAGGACAATGGCTGCCTCTCTGCCTTTGGGCCCCTCTGTCTGGCCCTCACCGGGATCCTCAAAGGTAGCCAACCTGCTCTGTGGCTTTGCTCCTCTGTCCCTCTGAAGTGTCCTGGGCCCATCTCCCCACCCCTCCTGACTCCTGGGCTCGAACCCCACCCTGCTCATCACCAGGGCAGCTGTCAAGGGGGGGACGCGACTCAGCATCGGCCCTCACAGCCGGCCTGGCCCTTCTGGGCTCTTGTTCCACACAGAACTTTCACGGGGCTCTCAGCGTATGTCTTTGGTCCTTCCGGTGCCATCTCCTGGTCCTGGACAGCCGGAGGCTGCCCTTGTTCCTTTTGCATTTACACAGTCTGACCATAGAGCAGGCGCTTGGGCAGGGCCCGGGTGGGTGCCGCAGCCCCCAGGAGACCTGGCTCTCTCCCCAGCTCCAAGGTGGGAGGAGCCTCAGGGATGGGTCATCTTGTCCACCACCTACCCTGGTTTTGCAGCTGGAAAATCGGGTCCAGGAGAGGGGAGGGGACCGACCAGCCCTCTTGACAGTCAGTAACAGGTGGAGCTGAGCACATGGCAGTATGACCTCCAGGTCAGGGGCATGACTTAGTTCTAAGTCCCTCTTGCCATTCCAGGGCCTCATTAACCCCAAGTCCAGCCCGGGCTCTGCCCCCTGCCAGGGGCTGGTTCAGGGATACCCACGCTCATGACCCACAGACTGTCAAAGCCAGAAAGGTCCTCAGAGAGCCCCTTGTACCTGAGCCACTGCCCAGCTGTGGTCAGGTAACCCCTTCACTGTCTGCGGGGGCTCGCTACCCCCAGTCCCCCGACCCCCGCCTCTCCGAGGCTCTCCCAGACTCTGCAGATCACTCTGCCTGGCCCTGGACTGGGGGCGGGGACACAGGAGGACAAGATGCAGGGCCCTTGTGGGGCCTCTCCTGGAAGGAGAGACATAATCACTCTGTCCCAGACCTTGTCGAAGACCCATTTCTCAGTTGAGGAACCCGCGGCCCAGAGTAGGGAGACACGTGTTCAGGGCCCCCTGGCAGGAGCATGCAGAGCCAGCAGGCTTGCTGGGGGCTGGGCAAGCTGAGGGGAGCAGGCTCTTGCCGCTTAACTGGAGGAAGTGCAGCCTTGACTTCGGGGGCAGTGAGCAGCCAGGACCCCCGTCCCCTCCAGGGAGGGGGACCGTCATCACTGTGGTGAGGTGGCGGGGAGGTCCGAGGGAGAAGAGAAGTAAGAGCTGGGCCTCTGGAGGAAGGGGCAGGAAGTGAGTGGCCAGCAGGGAGGAGACGGCTGGGGACGCTGAGGCTCAGAGAGAGGAAGGAATCTGCCCCCGGTAGCACAGCGAGTGAGGACAGAGGGCGGACAGGAAGGCGAGCTGGTGCCTACCACCAAAGCCTCGTCTGCCTTCTCCATGGACAGAGGAACACAGGGGTTCCAAGGGTCAGACCATGGATCCAGCAGAGCCTGTAAGAAAAGGGGTCTGTGCAAGTGGTCTGGGCATCTTGGGAGACTTCCTGGAGGAGGCAGAGTCGGGGGTCTACCATGTCCAGATGAGCAGGGCCCAGCAGGGGGCTGGGGCAGGCTCTTCTCCTTTAGGGGGCTCACCGGCCTCACCCACCCACCTGGAGCTGGCAGCCCTCTCACCTCACTCCCAGGGAAGCTTGGAGCAGGGAGAAGCTGCCGAGACCTGCCTGGCCTTGGCCTGAGCTCTGGGCAGCCCCTGGGGTGAGGACTTCCCTGCATTTGGGAGAACTGACAGCTCTGGGCTCGCTCCACCCTGTGGGGGAGGGAGCCCACGCTCACACGCACACACACGGACACACACACTCACCCAGACGCACATGGAGGCTCGCAGACCCACACTCCCAGGCACACATGGCCTGGGGGTTGGAGGGGCAGGAGGACCGTCCAGCCTTTGGCCCTTGGGAGGTGCCATTTCCAATGAGCCTCTTTGCTGGTGCCCCCCCATCCCACTGGGGTTCCCCAGGAGCCCAGCCCAGCTGGGTGTGGGGACCGGGCCACTGGCCATTCCTCTCTTTCCCTTGTACAGACTCTCACTGCCCACCCGCCATCCCCAGACACATTTTATTTAATAACTTGTCATTGTTAAATTATTTATTAGCGTTTACCACATCACCACCCCCGCCCTGCCCTCCACTATCACCTTCAGCTCTTCCCACAAAAGCAGAAAATGGAAACAACAAAAAAAAAAATGAGACATCAGTATATTTGTAAATAAACCAACCTGTACACGCCTGTGGTGACTCTCCTTGGGGGGAGGGGCTGTGCTGGGCGTGAGCCAGTCCTGCAGGAGACATTAGCAGATTTCTTGCTGGCTGCCAGGGACAGCAGGTCAAGGGGGAGGGCTTGGGGTCCCTGGTCTTGCCCAACCCATTCTCTTGTCCTATTTCATAATCCTTACCCCCCACTCTTGCCCTCTCCCAGCCTTGAGCTATCTCCATCCTTAAACACATTCGCCCCATCTCACTCCCCGACACTCATTCATTCATTTTTTCATTCTTCCAACCAATATGAATGGTCCTTTAAGTGCTGGCCAGCAGGCTGAGAATGAGGGATGGGCGGTGTCTGACTCAAAGGAGTAGACCATGTGATACGAGCCCAGCTGAGGTACAGTGAGGCCTTGTTACAGGATATCCAACCTCATCTGGAGGGGTGGAGCATCATGGAGGGCTTCCTGGAAGAAGCTACATGTCACACTGAGATCCGAAGTTATCCAGCAGGGCAGGAACCGGATGAGGAGGAGAAGTGTCTGGAGGTGCTCCAGGCTTGTACAAAACCTCACAGGCAGCCTAGTGAATCTCCTCAACTCCAGGAATAGCTAAGTTTTAGGGGTGGAGAAGCAATGAAGCTGGAGGCAAGCGGCAAGACTAGACCATCCAGGATCTTGCAGCAGGTGGAGAGTAGATCCAGTTAGATCAGGTGAACTGGGTGGAGGCAGGGAGGTCAACTGAGTCACCTCTCTCACCTAGGTGAAAGGTGACAATGGCTTTGACAAGGGCAGTAACAGTGGGGAGAGAAAAAAGGGACAGGTTCCCAAGATGCTGGTGAGATAGGGAAAGCAACATCACACTGAGACGGGGGTTCCTGAACACCCTGGCGGGGGCGTGGAAGCTTTGGGCGTCTGGTAGCATCCAAGTGGACGTGTCCCGGAGCAGGGCTGGGCCTCAGAGGGGCCAGAGGC